TGTGGTCCCAACTACTTGGGAGGCTGAGGCAGGAGACTCGCTTGAGCCCAGGAGTTGGAGGTTGCTGTGAGTTGTGATGCCACAGCACTCTATCCAAGGGCACAGCTTGAGGCTCTGTCTCAAATAAAAAAGATTCCCCTCTGACTGCTGGGTGAAAATAGACTGTAGAGAGGAAGGAGGAAACACAAAACCTTGAGGAAGCTAAAGGCCATGGCCAGAGATGTTGGCTATGTCCAGGGCATAGAAAAGAAAGTGAGAAGTGGCCAGATTCTGGATATATTCTATACCCTCAAGGATGTCCAACATTTGGTCCATGGGTGGCAAGTGGTTTATATGAAGTTTTTTTGCTTATATGTGGTGGCAGATATCATGAAAATTATGTGTGGACTTTTTTTTTTTTTTTTTTTGGAGACAGAGTCTCAGTTTGTCACCCTCGATAGGGTGCTGTGGCATCATAGCTCACAGCAACCTCAAACTCTTGGGTTCAAGCGATCCTCTTGTCTCAGCTTCCAAGCAGCTTGGGACTGCAAGTGCCTGCCACAATGCCCAGGTATTTTTTTAGCCTCACTCTTGCTCAGGCTGGTCTCGAACTTGTAAGCTCAGGCTATCCACCCACCTCACCCTCCCTGAGTGTTAGGATTATAGGGGTAAGCCACTGGGCCCAGCCTGGACCTTTTTTTTTCTTTTTTTATTGATTCTCTTGCCTCAGCTTCCCTAATAGCTGGGACTACACCTGCCACAACACCTGGCTATTTTTTTGTTTGTTTGTTTAGCAAGCCAGGGTCAGGGTTCAAACCTACCAGCCCCAGAGCATGTGGCCTAACTACTGAGCTATTGGCGCCCTCTTTGGTTTTGTTTTTTGTTCATCAGCTTTTGTTAGTATTGGTATATATATATTTTTTTGAGACAGAGTCTCACTTTAGCGTTGGTATATTTAATGTGTACCCCAAGACAACTTTTCTTTTTCTAATGTGGCCCAGAGAATCTAAACAACTGGACACCTGAGGGAAAACCTAAAAGAATTGTTAACAGAATATAAGGTAAGTGAGAGAGGAGTTATGCTAATATTTTTGGCCTTACCAACTAAAAAGGAGGAGTCACTTTTATCAGAAGTCAGGGGAGACTGGGGAGAAGTAGATTAGTAAAGGGCAAAGGCCAGTTTAGGAAATGTTAAGTTTGAAATTTCAATTAGACATGTAGATGTTTCTGTCCAGCATTCAGAGGAGGGCCCCAGGCTAGAGATAAAATTTGACTGTCATGAGCAAATTTAAATTACCAAAGGAGTTAATGGTGCCTTAAAAAAAGAGAGAGAGAGAGAGGTTGAGAAGGCCAGGTA